GTCTCAACTGAGGCGGTATGAACGTCGTCGTTTTTATTTCCTGCTTTTGTTGAAGTGCTTTATGCTAATGTTAGAAATACTTTAAAAGTTGTACTATTCTTATTGATAACATGCGCAGGGTGGCCGTTTGTTTCTAAGAATGAGTAGGTGGAAAAAAAATTGGCAGTAAAGCCCAAAGAAAGTCACGTTTTTTTCAAAAAGTCGCAAGACGGAATTTTTGCACTAGAGTTTAATTCACAGAGAAAACTGCGATCTTTCTTTTCACGTCGCTACAGCGGTTTTTTTTATAATTCTATCATTTTTTTTAACAATAAGAACACATAGAACAAGAGCATCAACTTCAATCACCCACTTCTGCTTTATCATCGTTCAAGCCTAGCCTACAAATACTCATATATTTCTAGTCACTACGCTTTTGAATAACAACCTTACTTTGTGAATCCACAAATGTTTTGTGATTCCTGTTGTTTCTTTCTTTCTACCGCTTTTTGGAAGCGGTGGGCGCGTTCTCTCTCTCACAGGAATCAAAAGACTTCGTGAGCATTCGTAGAATTGAGTCAGTTGCTTTTCATTTATGCTCCGATTAGCGAGCAATTAAAATGATTCCAATGTTCTTGATCTCGATGTAGTATGGAAGTAATGATTTTAGTTTTCGTTGGAACGTGTACCATCAGAAACTGAGGTTTTTTAAAACCCGCGTGAAATCTTATATGTTGCGCTTTGGAACATAGTCAGTGCAAAGGCATGCTTTTCTCTTATTTAATCCCGCAAATCTTTCACAAATACTTTGCAGGAAACGGCATCAGACATTTGATTATTTTTCTTCCCAACTTTTGTTTTCTGAGTCCTTCTCAGCAACAACAGATATACTTGAACATTGAAAGACTTTATCACTTTCTACCAAAAATTTTTGAAAGAAAGAGTTTCTGTGACTGTACAAACTTTTGGCAGAAACACTGCGAATTTTCGGTATCGTGATTGGAGTTGATGTTTTTGTTCGCAAAAGGGCAAATCAGAGGTTCCACTATGGATTAGATTTTTGTGCAACAACAAGGAAAACACTGATACTGATGCCTACCTAATAATTATCAAGTTCATTCAAAAATACAAGGCACTTTTGTGTATCCTAAATAACTTGTGACAGGAATGAGATGGATAATTTTCTGATTTTACTCATCTTTCAAGACCGAATTCAGGTGCACAATGCACACTAAAACAGTTAAATTGCGATTGCTAAGGAAGATTCGTATATTGCTGAAGTAGTGTCCATCAAAATAGAACTCATTTGATAACGGAAGAAAAGTTTAATCAAAGTATTGTTCTTGTCTAAAACTTAAAGGAAAATCAATTAAAGACCGCGACTTTCTCAACAAAAACAAATGATGAGAAAACGAGAAAATGAAAATTTCTGTTTGGTCCTTCTGAGTTGGTAAGTTTGCAACTCTGATATTCCGTCAGCAAATCTTTTCTACCTGCAGTTCAGAATACTTCTAGTAAATTCCTATCCAAATTCGATTTGCACAAGAGTGCCTTTTACGGTTGAACGGACCGGACCGGACCGTATCGCTTCTTTTTTGCGTAATCCAAAAGCTTTAATACATTTTTATCAATAAAAATTATTCACATTCTTGTGCGTATGATTAAGGTCACATAGAACATAAAAAGACTAGTGAGAATGTTTTGTACTTGAACTAAAAGTAGAAATAAAGAGATCCATTTTTCATTCTGTGAACAAAATCCTCAGCTATTTGTAATGTTATACATGTTTCTTTTTGAATTTTAAAAGTTATGATTAGAGTCGTAGCAAATAAGCAATGTTAGACTATATTCACATTGTACGTCTTTGTTTCTTTCTTTTCCGTGCTTTACACACAGAAAAAAGAAAAGTAGAAAAAGTATAGAAGCACTGGTCGACGTTCTTGTGGGTATTCTTGCAAGATTCTTGTCTCTTGCCATTTCAGACAAGAATCTTCCATTTTGTCTTGACAGATAAGACAAGGTTCTTTTAATTTTTTATTCATTTTTCATTATTTTTGGTTAAAGATTCTTGTCTGAAATGGAAAGAGTCGTTGACGACAAAATCACCAATTTGTTTTGTCGATTCCCGTGCTATATATAAGTGACATAATATAGTTCAATACTATACATAGATGTTTCTAAAACTTCCTTTGAATCTCATAAGATTCTTGTCGAGAGACAATCGAGTCTTTATATGTGCCTGTATTGGCATCAGAGCGTCCAGCTCCTATATATATGAAAAGAAAAGGAGATGAAAAATGGATTATATATACATTCTTTTTGTTTGCAAGATTCTCTTCAGAATTACACAAGATTTTTGCAGGAAAAAAATAACACAAGAATCTTGCAAGAATACCCACAAGAACGTCGACCAGTGAGATAGAGAAGAAAATTTTCATCATCGTGTGCGCAGAAACGAAAAAACATAAGAAACAAAGATTTCTGCTTCTGTCACGTGTAGAAGAACGCATTTCACGTGATCAATGAGAAAAGCTTAGTAATGTTTCAACAATGTTTCAGTAATGTTTAAGTAAAGCTCTGCACTTTTATAAAAAAAAAGTTCCAAGCTGGGTACGGGTGTCGGGTTGGAGCACCAAAATCCATACTCCGCGCACACCCACACCCTACTTTCCTGACACGCAAAATTAAGAGATCCTGACGTTTTTAATTTCTCGTGTCTTTAATATTTGGGTAAAATGTGAAATTTAATCACGTTAAGTTGAAGTGATATATGACTTCTTATATTTAGGTCAAACGAAAACACATCTTAACATTCCTTGCACACGTCGATAAATAGGTATTACGTTTGACACTTCAAGCAGCAGTGCATCTTACATAATTGTTGACTGTTATGGCGACAAGAAAAGTTACAATATGACAAGGTAAATGATGTCTTCAGATTCATTCTTAACAAATGGTGACAGTAAGGATAAACCTAACGAAATACCACAAAACCAGCAGCAAATTGTAAGAGAGTTACGCGAAACAATGTAAGAGCTTTCATAAGGAACGAATAATCAACCAGCTTAATAACGGCTATAAAACAGATGAAGCATTTCATTTGCGGGCACCTACCGAGATAAAGTATATCGCACGTAAGCATGGTCTACCAGAAGTAAAATGGGATCAAATTTATCAAAATTTAATAGCTGAGAATATTGATGATCATACTAAACTATTACTTGCTCAGACAATCAAACGTTTTATTATAAATAAAAATATTGACTTTAGACTTGAAGAACTTCTTGATGTCTTACGAAAAAATAATGAGGTGGGAGTAAAATCCGAGATTGTTTGGGCATTGAGCTACCAACTTAGTAACTCCTTTGCTAAAGATCCTAAAAAGGTAATCGATGAAAACTTGGTCCATGAAATCAATAGTATTATAGAAGGATCAGAAAAATAAACTCAATAGCGCCGCCATAACCTTTTTAAATGATCAAATTCAAACACAATACCACGGAAATCATAGAACTCGGCAAATTTCTCATGTAAGAATAAAGACATCCATTAATCATTCAAAACAAATGCCGCAAAAAATTGTTACAAAAAATCAACAAACAAGTAAAATTGAATATAAAAGCACCCAGTCAGAAGAATCAGCTAATCGATTAAATTCAGTTAATGTTTTTAAGAATTTAAATAAGAAAATTAAAATGAACTCGAACATGGAAAATCTTCCAACTATACCTGATAAGGATGGAAGTGATACATCGATTTTTCGAGACACCTATGCTGAAGTTGCGCATCTTTATAACAGAATAAAAAGTGGTCAGACATGGAAGAGAAAGGATAAAGACAAATATTTACCATCTAAGTTTATAGGACCTGGGAAAAAAATGGCATAGAGATGTAATCGCATCAGCATCAATGATGGCGATGAGTCGGGTAGTCCTGTGTGCAAAGCTGGGTATATGGGGTATAAATAAAATCGCACAATCATCTACTGTCAGCACTCTGTTAGGATCGTATGAACAGTGTATACATGGAATCGTACAGCCATTATTTGTAGATAAGATGATTGCCGTTATATTTCTAGAAATTTCAAAAAAACAGATATTAGATAAAAATGCGATAAAAGTACTAATGGATTGTATAGATACTCTTGATTAAGTGGAAGAAAAAGTTTTAGGTGGAGCTAGTAAAAAAAAAGGAGGCTGCTGAAAAAATTGCATTATATAATCAGAGCAGCAAGGATAGTAAAATTGTCGATTTTCTCAAAAAAGCACCACTAAGAATGTATGAAAATGCCCCAGATATTGTTGCTAAGGTGGCACGTAAAATCGATGAAGAACGCATTGAAGATTCTAAAGAAATAGAGAAAATTCTCTCATCTGAAGTCAATCAAATCAGACTCGCAGCAATTTCAGCTATTTATAATTGTGCTATCAGAGATAGAGCAATCTTAAACGAAGAACGATTGAAAAAAATTGAAACATGTCTAACAGATAATGATATTGAATTTAATCAATTTGTAATCAGAATATTGGGAACTCTAGTAGATAGTAATATTACCAATTATAAAAGTCGTTTTGAAAATTGTTTAGAAAACCTAAAAAGACATGTTGACAAAGTTGATGATTCAATAAACTACATACATCAGCAGAGCAAGGATGAAAAAAGGTGTAGAGAATTATTTAATGACGACGTTATCTCAAGGCTAAGTGTTTTATTTAAGAAAACTACTTTAAACGAAGAAAGGAAAATAATTTGCTGTATAATTATTAACAATTATCTTGAATATAGTTATAGTAAAGGTTTGAACGAAGCTCAATTAGAAAATTGTGTTGATCTCATAAATGATCCGCATAATAGCAGTGATTTAAAACTTGAAGCATTAAGATCCATAGTCTTGACTGTGGAGAAAAAAACAAGAATTGCCCGATTTTCTTATCGAAACTCTAATCAATAATATTAATCATGTCGATGATAAATTGAATAATTCTGTCATTGTAACTTTGGGAATTGTTTCTCAAGGACAAATGATACCAAAGATTGATAGACTATCAACTAAATTATTAGACGACTGGGTATCAGTTGGAGAAGGAGCTGATATTACTTTTGAGAAAAGTTCGAAAGATAACTCTGATTGCCAATCGATTTCATCCATAGTAGCTGTGATCTTTGTCACGTCTTTGCAAAAGAACGTAAGGATTACCGACCAAAGTCCTGAACACCTTGCTAAGGCACTTAATAGTAATGATAAGCAAACGTTTATTTTATCAGCAAAATCTTTATATCTGGCCTTAGAAACTCATGATATTAAAAACGAAGTTTTAATTGAATTAAGGGAACATGTTGACGATAGAATACCCGATGTTTCTGTCTATTCGACTGTTGTGTATGCCCAAAGTTTAAGAAAATTGTCAGCAAAAGCGCCGATCATGGCGAGTCATATTGGATTTTTACCGACAATTTATGTATACGACGATTTGCGGCTAGACGAGGAAAGTTTTTCTGATGTAGTCAATAAGAATATTTTATTTGTTTTGAATAACAAATCAGAAACTAAACAATTTGAAGATGATGTATTTCGAATTCTTGACCATATTTTATTGTTCGGAAATCGCAACCAAGTAGAAGCAATCAAAATACTTCGTCAGTATTCAACAACTAAATACCCTATTCCAGAAAATACACTTTTTGCATTAGAAAATGTAGTTGGTATACCTGAATTTTTACAAGTATTTGAGAACATCATTAAAAACAGACAAATCGTTAGTGAAAACATTCTACACATTATTGCCGATAAACTTTATTTATCTGACGATAATCGATTAAGAGACGAATCGTTTCAGTTACTAGATATAGCTAATGATAATCAAGATATATCAGATGAAATATTTGATATATTAGAATTGGAAAGGGCTAGCCTTGCTATTAGTTCATTCTTATCGGATAGTGATGATACCATTTCTTATTTATACGCAAAGACAAAAGAGGGCCAAAAACTAACAATCAATGGATTTAGAGGGCTAAGTAAAGCAATCGATAATCACTCTGTATTCAAAGAAGAAATCTTGAGAATTTTATTGAATGTTTCAAATAATGGACAAATAATATCTAATGAGTTAATTGACATACTTGTAATAATATTCGATCCTAAACAAGTACAACATCACTTAATTGAAATATTTGAAAATTTAGTTAAAAATAATCAAAATATTTCAACTGAGCTGTCATTAAAATTAGAGAAAGCGTTGAAAAATAGACTTATTTGCGATCAGGTTCTATTCATTTTTATTCTCCAAGGGCAAAAAGGCGAAAAATTACCAGAAAAGATCATATCTAAAATGCTGGATAAATTTTCAAGTATAGAAAACCCATTGACCATACAACAATATTTGTCTGTCATTTGTTCGATCATCCAAAAGAAAGATTGTTTTGAATATGATTCTAAAAGTAGTTTTTATGAAAAACTTTCTCAAGTGTTTGGTTACAGTTTAATCACTCGTGTTCAATCAGCTTTAATTCATGCTCTTAAAACGAGTAACCAAGATGTTGTCCGTAAAAGTCTTGGCGGATTAAAAACACTTGTTTCACTTCACAAAGTTAAACTGAAAAAGGATAGCATAGAAGCTCTGTTAAGTCTAGCAACAAAGGCCATCTGTGATGAGAATATAAAACAGGAAATTACCATGATATTAGATATTTCTAAACTAGAAGAAAGCCAGAAATGCATGCTTAAACTCTGTAATTTAAAGTATGCCTCGAGCGATCAATTACTAGATATATTAACTAAGTTTGGTGAGCTTAAATTACTTGAACAAAATTTTGACAGAATAAATTCTATTATTGATGACTGTCCAGAATTAAATAGTAAAGCACTAGAAATTTTACTAAAGTGTTCGAATAAGAAAAATATTCCATATAAGTTGTTAGATAGTATTGCTGTTTTATTGGCTAGTACTACCTCAGAAACGATAAAATCATTCTGTTATCGACTAATAGCTGAAACTGCTGTAGCAGGGAGGGCTGTCAAATTATCCTTATACAGTATAACCAAGAAAGTGTTAGAATTTCAGAACTTCAGAATTTCAGAATTTCAAACTCATCCTTATACAGTGCGCGATAGTCACTCTTATAGAAAATGTTAGAATTTCAGAATTTCAAACTTATCCTTATACCGTGTGCGACAGTCACTCTTATAGAAAATGCTACAATTTCAGAATTTCAGAATTTCAGACTCATCCTTATACTGTGTGCGATAGTCACTCTTACAGAAAATGACAGAAGTTCAGAATTTCAGAATTTCAGAATTTCAAACTCACCCTTATACCGCGTGCGATAGTCACTCTTATTGAAAATGTTAGAATTTCAGAATTTCAGAATTTCAAACTTATCCTTATACGGTGTGCGATAGTCACTCTTATAGAAAATGTTAGAATTTCAGAATTTCAGAATTTCAAACTTATCCTTATACGGTGTGCGATAGTCACTCTTATTGAAAATGTTAGAATTTCAGAATTTCAGAATTTCAAACTTATCCTTATACGGTGTGCGATAGTCACTCTTATTGAAAATGTTAGAATTTCAGAATTTCAAACTCATCCTTATACTGTGTGCGACAGTCACTCTTATAAACATTTTCTATAAGAGTGACTATCGCACACAGTATAAGGATGAGTTTGAAATTCTGAAATTCTAACATTTTCTATAAGAGTGACTATCGCACACAGTGTAAGGATAAGTTTGAAATTCTGAAATTGTAACATTTTCTATAAGAGTGACTATCGCACACAGTATAAGGATGAGTTTGAAATTCTGAAATTCTAACATTTTCTATAAGAGTGACTATCGCACGCGGCATAAGGATGAGTTTGAAATTCTGAAATTCTGAAATTCCAACATTTTCTATAAGAGTGGCTATCGCACACTGTATAGGGATAAGTTTGAAATTCTGAAATTCTGAAATTCCAACATTTTGTATAAGAGTGACTATCGCACACTGTATAAGGATGAGTTTGAAATTCTGAAATTCTGAAGTTTCTCGTGCGGTTGATAGTTATACTGTATAATGATAATTTGACAGCTGACTAAAATCCATTTCTAAAAATCAATTGATTCCAAAAGAATTACGGGACAGAATACATTTGTTCTCGCAAATGGATCGTACGATGAATATGCATCCGACGAACCTTGCTGAATTTCTAAACAGGATCCAGCAAGAGTTACAAGAAGGCCTAAAATTGTCTAATCAATCTATTGAAAAAATATTTTCGATATAAATTCCAACGAATGATAATCAAAATGATTCCAATATAAGATTAGAATAACAATTGATCGATACTGTTGCTTTGTTACTGATACAAAATCCGAATTATGCTTCGAATTAATCCATAATTAATCATCTAGAAAAGGTCATTTTATCTAAAAAAATAATAAATAACAATATTCTGAATGCATATCAGGAAGTTATCAAAACAAAACACTGTCAAATAAATAACTTATCCAACATATTAGACATTTTAATAGATATTATAGGAGAGAATAACAAATACGAGAAATTCCATTTAGACATACTTGTATGTATTGCTCTGGCATCTGAAATAATGGAAGTTTCAAAATTAGAACCTTTGGAAAACAATCTTTTCAGTAATGATGGAATAATTCGGAGTTGGGCATTCAGGGGTTTAAGAGCAGCACATGAGAGAAGTTCTAAGTCTGTAATATTCCAAGAATGGTGTAATAACATCATTGATAATCTAGAAGAAAATATTGATACTAAAGTTGATCTAGATTTAGATTTATCTGAAACTTTTGCTACATTGAAGTACGTCGATTTTGACAAAATCCGTGATAAGCCGCAAAATCAGTGGAACAGAGAACTGTTAGTTTTTGATTTAATAGAAAGATTCAAAATAAGCGAAGAAGAACGTTTTCATTTTTATACAGCTTGGCCTGACATTGAAGAGCATGAAGGATTTCCATTGGATATTACATTGTATTGATCATTTTTCAAAATTCACTTGGGCTTATCCATTAGAAAACAAATCAGCCAAAGAAGTAGTTGTAAAACTTCGTCAGTTATTTTTTACTTTTGGTTCCACGTTTATTACATTCAGATAATGGATCAGAATTCGTTGCTAATGTTATTTTAGAACTAAAAACAGTTTTTCCTAATTTGTGCTTTATTCGTGGTCGTCCACGTCATCCACAATCGCAAGGATGC